CGCAGTCCTGTTGTTGTTGATGCTGTTAGGGTGTCAGGTCTGCCCTGACCCACAGCAACCCTCGGCATGACCGAATGACACACTGCGCAGTCCTGCACCACCCTCAACATTGTTCCTCTGCCTGAGCCCGTCGTTACAGCCACTGGGTCAATCCACCTTGTTTAGAGCCTCCCTCTTTTTCATTGCTCTTCTAGCAAGCATGATGTCCTTCTCCAGGAATTGGTGTCCCCTGACACTATGTCCCAAGTATGTAAGGCGAAGGCTCCCCACAGCCCTCTGGCCGTACCTCTTCCAAGACAGATCTGTTTGTCCTTTCAGCAGTCCATGGTACGTACTTGGTCTTCTTTATCTAATTCCAACGTTCACATGCCTATGAGACCACGGAAAAGACCATGGATTGGGTCAGGCCTACCTTAGTCCTCCAAGTAAAACTCTTGCTTTTCAGTTCTCCAAAGGAAGGGCTTGTGCAGCGGATTTACCTCATGCCATGGATCTTTTGATCTCTGACTGCTTCCATCAGCATTGATTGTGGATCAATCTTTTCTCCACTTATCATGATGTTTCCTATTGGTCCAGTTGTGAGGATTCGGGTCTTCCTGACATTGAGTTGTCACTCGTACTGAAGGCTGCCACCCTTACTCTTCATCAGCAAATGCTTCAAGGCCTCCTCACTTTCAGCAGACAAGGTTCTACCATCTGCATCTCGCAGGTTAATAAGCCTTCCTCCAAGACAATGATGGGAAGGTGGAAAAGGGTGGCCGGAAGCCTCCTCCTCTTCTGGAGAGTTACTGGGAAGACTTGCTAATGTCCGGCAGGAAGTGGGCTGGGCACAAGGCCCAGATGCAGTACCTGGCTCATGGGGTTGTTAAGTGCGGAGAAGTGGATTCCAGCTCAGTGACCCTAGGTCCAGCAGAAAAAACCCTGCCCCACTGTCAGGACGGGGCTGGCTGCTTTTCAGTAAAGATTAACTGTGAGTCCCAGAAACCTTGGGGGTGCAGTTCTACGGAGTCCCTAGGGGGGTTGCTGAGAGTGGGTTTCCTTTAGCGTTATTAGTGTCTATTAGCGTTTGAGAGGAGATTCTAGGGACAGGCCTTCTGAAATGCCGTCCCTCCTTCATCATCTCCACTGGACCTCGGACCCAGCTCTGATATGAGGGCGCTCTTCTGACATGAACCGTTTCAAACTGGGTGGGAACCGGTGCCTAGACAGCAGCAGGTGCCCAACCGCAGCCAGTTGCCCTGCCTCCCACCCGCTGAAGCCCTTCTTGATGACCTCCGGGTCGCCCCTTCCCTACCCCCCCCCAAAAAAAAAATCCTTTGCCGGCTACTCAACGCGACCCCACAAGGCAGAACACTGGCCCCGCGGGATTTCCAAGTCTGACATCCTTAGGGAAGCACAGCGCTACATCTTTCTCCCACCGAGGTAGACTGCCACCAAAATCCAGCGCTTAACCATGGAGCCACCAGACACTGCGCCTCGGGAGTCCATCTCCAAACTCACCTTTCCCAGGGGACTTCTGCTGGAACTTCAGTCCCCGCCCCTCTCCCGGCCTGAGCCACCGCCCGTTCCCCCCCGCCGAGAGGCCGCCTCCCATTGGACGCATGAAACACGCACGCTCATTGGTTGTTTTATCCGCCTTCACGTGTTTCCATTGGTCTCTTTTTTTTTCCTTCCCCAATACGACTCTCTAATTGGTTCAAAGGCTCGCTCCTCGTTCCGCGAGGATTGGCTGAGCCGGCGCCCGGAAGTCCTACAGCCTCATCGATTGGCTGCCGGGCGGGCAGCTTCCTGGAGGGGCTGGCCCGCGGGGCAGGGCGGCCCGAGCCCACCTGTTCCGCAGTCAGGCTTCTGGGCCTCACCCCGACTCTCACCTGGGCCCCCAAAGCTGCCGTCTTCAGCTGTCTGTCGTCTGGCTCCTTGTTCCTCCTCTTCCTGCCTCTCCACCCTTGTCTGCCCTGCCAGCCCCGCATGGCCCTCTGAGACCCCCGTCCTTCCTCGGAAACCATTTCTTGCTCACCTGCCCTCATTTCTCTTCCAGTTACCTGCAGCCCTTCCCTGGTTGTCCAGGTGATGGTGGTGGTGGTGGTTCTGTGCCCTCATTGTCAGGTGCTGTCTAGTGGTTCTGACTCAGAGAGCCCCCACACAGGACGAAACACCTGGTCCTGCGCCTGTTCACAAATGTTCTTCTGTGTGAGCTCATTGCTGCAGTCACTGCACCAAGACCTCTTTCCAGGGCCTTCCTCTTTTTCGCTGCCCCTCTACTTGACCAAGCATGATGGCCTTCTCCAGGGACTGGTCTCTCCCGACAACATCTCCAAATCTAGACATTCTTCCAACACTTCTTCCCACGCAGATTTACTCTTTTTGGTGTTCTGCGGTACTTCAAATAGTCTTCACTAACACCACAATTCAAAGGCTTCCGTTCTTCTGTGATCTTCCTTATTCAGTGTCCAACTTTCACATGCAGTTGAGGTGATTGGAGATACCATGGCTTGGGTCAGGTAACATCCTTACTTTTCAACACTTGCAAGAGATCTTGTGCAGCAGATTTACCCGGTGCAACATGTCTTTTGACCTACTGCTTCCATAAGCATTGATGATGGATTCAAGCATGACAAAATCCTTGACAAGGTCAATCTTCTCTCCATTTATTGTGATGTTACCGATTGGTCCAGTTGTGTGGAATTTTTGTCTTTACATCCACTTGTAATACATTCTGAAGGCTGCGATCTTTCATCTCTATCTGCAAGGGCTTCAAGTCCTCACTTTTCAGCAAGTAAGGTTGTGTCATCTGCATATTGCAGGTTGTGAATAAGCCTTCCTCCAATCCTGATGCTGCATTCTTCTTCATGAAATTCACCTTCTCTGATGATCTGCTCAGCATGCAGATTGAATAGGTCTAGTGAGAGGGTACCACACACACCTTCCTTGATTTTAAACCACGCAGTCCTCCCTTCTTCTGTTCTCACAACAGCCTCTTGATCCAGATACGTTCCACATGAGCACACTGCAGTGTCTGGAATTCCCATTCTCCAGGCTCCCCCTCCAGTGGGTTTCCAACTCATAGTGACCCCATTTACAAGGACGAATTGCCCAGTCCCCCACCATTCTCACAATGACTGTGTTTGGGCTCATACTGACGTTTGAGCTGTTGCAGCTACTATGTCGATCCAAGTCATGGAGGGTCTTCCTCTTGCACTGACTCTGCACCAAGCACAATGTCTTCTAGGGGTGGTCCCTCCCAATAACAGATCCCAAACAGGTGAGCGCAGTCCTCTCTGCTAAGGAGAATTCCACTGCTGATGACTTCACAACGGGATCAGCGAGCAACATCTTGACAAACAGACTAGATGGAAATTGTCCGAGATTGCCTTCTGCTTAGCTCCACAACGAAGTCGGGAAAACAACCGGTTGTATTGGGCAAAGAT